GAGAAGAAAATCATCTAATTTGCTTTGAGTTTCGGCCATTACACTTTAGTGAGAGAAAATATTATTTTGGTTCCACATATATCATTTTGTGTATAGAAAATATCTATAATATTTTCTAAATATTATTGGAAATATTTTCTATAGAAATATACAAGATTATTATTATCCCAAATTTTAATCTTTATATTTTTATACTACTATAATCTTTACTAGCATAAAGATTGTGGTAGACTCCGGCGTTGTTCGTGTGTCAAAGTTGGAGACCGGACGCTTGAACGGTTACGTTTGCACTTTCAACGCTCTTCCTACGACTTCTTCGTTTTTACCGCTTACGGAGAAAGGTATAAATTTCTTACTCACTATAAGTTTTAGTACGTGATTCTGGGCAAGATAATCATGTTAGGATGTTAAAAATTTTTATATTCCGCTGCCTATCCTTGCATGGTTACCTTTCAAAGCCTTCACCGCATGCTTGACCCGGCGCCTTCTAGGTAAAATGTGTGGCCACCCGCTGGATATCGGCACATCACAAGCCCCCCAACTCCTCATTCCTCAGACGGGCCACGTAAAGGGATGGGGAGTTTACGAAGTCCATGTGGGCGCCCCCTCAACGGATCCGAGCCGTTCCTTGGGTTTCGCGTGACGTTTGGCACGATCTCCACTAAAAGCATTCATGGCCTACTGTTTTTCCTTCCAACCTTCTGATAAAACCGCTGCTGGACGCCATTCTTCCCTACCGGCTACACTTGCTTCTTCACTTGCTCTTCCCTCCCTAAACGACCAGGAGTAGCTCAGCTACTTCAGGGTCTTCATCCTCATCTAGGTGATGCCGATTTGGGCTCATAGAAAAGAGAGTCTCCCTCCCTCCTTCCTCTACGGGAGAAGGACGGGGTTTTTTGTTGCGACTGGGGGGTGGCTGCCCTGTTCCATGTTGGAGAAGAGAGGCGGTCATCTGTAGAAACTGGTGGTTGGGATTCTGCTTGCCTTTTAGCTGCAGAACTACCCTTCACCCCTCCTTTTTCCTTGTGTTTTTCTTCCTTTTCAGGCTTCGGCCGTGTGGGTTTTATGTTTTTCCTCTTGGATGTATGTGTGGATGTATGTAAGACGTACGAAAGATGTCCTCAATTGTATTGGATATGCAAGTGTAAAAGGTGGTTCTTGGTATGTAATAAATAGTTTCACGAATGAACTTTGGTGTTACCTGTCCGTTTTGTTTGTGACAAGCCCCATCTCCTTTTTGAGTTGCCTTTACACCTTATTTCAAGAATTCACGTCTCCTCAACCTTTGGTTAAAAAGGCCATCTGCCTCTCCCGACTTAGCCGTCCTGGGGCTTTTTAGCCCCTTCGGCATTGCCGTGTTCCTCATAAGCCTACCTCGATCGCCCAAGCGACTTTTGGGTCTTATGTTCTGGACTTAGCTGCTTCTGAGGCTTTTTCGCCTTGGCGTCACCCCTTTCTTAAGCGCGCTAGCCTATCGGTCGCCCCAGCGATCATTAGGTCTTGCGCTTACTGGCCATCGAGCATCCATATGCTTGGTCATGTTTGGTTGCCTAATTTTAGCCACTAACTGGGCTCAACACTTCACCCCTTAATAGGCATCTTAGTGAGAATCATCGTGTAGTTCCTGGCAGCGATCTCTTCTGGTCGCTTCCTTCTTTTTTTGAAGAAGAAGAGAATTGCTTGAGGTGCCAAAATGTTGGTTTTATTTAACTTAAAGGCAAAACATAGCAAGAGTACAATCTACTGATAAAATTTGATAAGGTTATGAGCATTTCATACTGCGGGACGTCGCCCCCCGCTAGTGTTTGCAACTTGAAAGTTCCATCAGCCAATACTTCCTTTATGATGTATGGCAATTCAAAGCTTTTTGCAAACTTCCCACCATCGATCGGCCGGCTGACCTCCCTTTTCCTTAGGACTCAGTTGCCTATTTTGAACTGCCTTGGTCGCACCCTCTGGTCATGGTACGACTTAACTTCTCGGCGGTAATTCTCGGCCCGGATGTAGGCCTTTTCTCTTTGCTCGTCTATGAGGTGTAATTCCGCCCTCAAGCTTTCCTCATTCTCTTGCGCATCAAACATCTCCACCCTATAACTCAGCAGTGAGGTTTCGGCTGGAGCCCTTGCCTCGAATCCATATGTGAGCGCGAACGGCGTTTCCCCCGTGGCCTTCCTCAGGGTGGTCCTGTAAGTCCGTAGGATGTAAGGTAATTCTTCTACCCACGCGTTTGTGCATTCCATTATCTTCTTCTTCAGGCCATCCACAATGGTGCAGTTAGTATTCTCGACCTGCCCATTGGTTTGTGGATACCCGACCGCGGCATAACTATGCTTTATGCCCCAACTTTGTAAAAACTCATTGAACCCCCTAGCCTCGAACTGAGTTCCATTGTCAGTGATGATCTGTTGGGGCACTCCAAAACGACACAAGATTTGTTTCGACACAAACTTCCTCATTTTTTCTTCGGTGATGGTCGGTACTAGAGCGGCCTCGACCCACTTGGTAAAGTAGTTGATCGCGACAACCAAATCAATACCCCACAGAGCAAAGGGAATTGCCGTGCTGATTGGGGTGTAGTTCGTTGCTGGTCGCCCTAGTACCCTCTGGATTTCTTGGCACACCTTACACTTACGCACGTACTCTGTGCAATCTCTAATGATCGTCGGCCAAAAGTACCCCTGCAAGGTTATCTTCCTCGACATCGTAAAAGCTCCTTGCTGTGCCGAACATATTCCCTCAAGGATTTCCTCCATCAGCTTCTGCGCTTCGTCCCTCCTTAAACACCTTAGCAATGTACCATTGTACGATCGCTTATACAACCTCCCGCACACCAGGGTATAGCTAGGTGCGCGTCGCTTGACGATCTTGGCTGCGACCGGCTCTGTTGGTATCGACCCGTCAAGGATGTACATGGTCAACTCGTCAATCCAGTCCGGCTCATTGAGTGTAATGACCAAAACTTGTCTGGGACTGATGCTTGGTTCAAATAACTCCTCTTCTTGAGTCATAGCCTTGACATGATCCGCGGAATCGGGACCAAGCTATGAGAGGATGTCTACCTCAGCATTTTCTTATCGAGGGACCTGCTCTATTCGGTACGCCCCTAATGCCTTAAGCAATTCCAATGCGGTGTCCCTATATTTCTTCATCCGCTCGTCCTTTGCTTCAACACTACAAAATTTTGCTAAAATTGCGACGGAAAAAATCTGTCGCAAACCCTTTGTTTTGGTCGCAGAGTTCAAAATTGCGACAGCTCTGCGACCGAATCATTCCGTCGCAAATAAATTGTCGCATTTCAGACAACGCATGTTATTCTTTGACCGATCAGCATTGGGATTCGAGGAACAAATATCACAAACTTCATGACATTGTCAACCCATTCTTTACTAACTACACCTTCGGATTCAAATTTATTATACATCCATTCACGATCATCAAATCCAGACATTGTAGCATTAAAATCAACACTGTTTGATCAAAACAAGCACAAACTGAACAATGCAAATAACTATCAACAATTTGAATTCATTCACAACTTAAAATGTACAAAAAAATACCACCAACGATACCTAAAATTTTAAGATAAGTTAAGAAGAAAAAATTATATTTTTGAAATTTTTTTAAGGATCTTAGTATAGTTTATTTTAAAAGGATGTTAGTATATTTTATCTTTAAAGAATGTTACTTTAGTTTTAAAGGATAATATTCGTATATACTAAATTTTTTACCTTATATTTTTTCGTATACTATTTAAAGAACCTTATTTAAATATTCACTTCAATTAGCAAATTTAACAAAAAAATTGCAAAAATAATAAAAACTTTAAACACAATACTTTTTTTAATAATTTACAGTGAATCAATTCATCATTATCATGCAATTACAAGAAAAAATGTTCAAGGTAAATTTCACACTTCAATTGAGGGGGAAAAAATTAGGGTTAGAGTAGGTGTACCTTGGGTCGGCGGCCGGCGGACGGAGTTTAAACAGTAGGTGGGTCGGCTGACGGCGGACGTGGCGGCGTCGGAGGTCGGAGGTCGGAGGTGGAGCTGTAGGCGGCCGCGGCGGAGGGCTTTCCCTTTCTACGTCGTTCGTCTCTACGTTCTGCGTCTGGTTGAGAATGAAAGAATTCACGACTTCCGGGGATAAGATTTTAATTTAAACCTGCGACGGATCTCATTCCGTCGCCAAAACCGTCGTAGGTAATGGTCAAAAAAATTGACCGTCAAATATTAGCGACAAACCAAAACTTGCTGTCGCAGATCTGCGATGGGTAACCAAATTCCGTCGCAAATATTCCCAGAAATTAAATTCACTTGTTTTTGTCGCAGGTTCTGTCGCAATTTGTGAAGGAAAAATTCCGTAGCAGATAATTCGTCGCAAATTGGACTAAATCTTATAGTGCAAATTCCCCGGTGACATGGCCCACTATAAATTTGGAACACACCTGACCTGGATCCGCTTAGCTTTCAGAGACGCTGCCAGTCTCAAGCCACAGAGGAGCGCCTCGTACTGATCCTCATTGTTTGAGACCTTGAAACGGAATCTTACAAAGTAATACGCCTTAAATCCTTCTGGTGATATTGCCACGGTGCCTCCCCCCGAAGCATCGGCCGCAGACGATCCATCGGTGTATATGGTCCACCAATTTCATTCTTGCTCTTCTCCGCTGGTCTCTACTTCCCTTGCAGTGCATTCCACCACGAAATGCGCCAAGGCCTGCCCCATGATTGCTCGTCGCGGTTTGAATTCTATTTGGAATGAACCCAGGAATACCCCCCATTTGCTGACGTGCGACGGAGCATTAGGCCTCTGAATGAGGGTTCCGATTGGAATCTGGGACAACACGTAGACCGGATGGGCCTGAAAATAGGGGGTGAGCTTCTTCACTGTGCATGTAACGCCCTGGAAACCGGTCTAGAAATTTTTAACTTTCTAGTACAAAGGAATAAAAATATTAAAAAAAGAGAAAATTCAAAAAAAATAATAGTAATAATAATTAAAAAAATAAAGGAAAAAATGTTACTATTATTTAGTTAGAAACAATCAATTTGGAATTTAATTTAAACGATTAAATTACTAGTAGAGTTTGGAAAAAGAATAAAGTGAAAGGGGATAAAAACTAGTTTGGGTTCTTTACCATTTGAATAATAAAGTTTGTTCAAATGAACTTATTTTCGTGAAAAACAAATTATATTAAAATGATGTGTGAAAAATATGGAACTTAACCGTATAGGTTTTATTTTTTTTAAAAGAAAATATTCAATAATTGAAACTGTGAGAATCAGACACGTAGTAAATCGACGGAGCAGGAAAACTTTTTGTTTTCCCTTTTTCTCACGCCACCCTTTGTCACCTCCACTTCCCCAATTCACTTCATCTACCATTAAAGGGGGATAGTGAATTAATTTTAATACATGTAATTTAATTTGAGAAAATGAACAAAACAAATAGAAAATCATCCATCTACCCTCCTCCTCACCTATAAGTAGAGGCCTTGAGTAATTAGTTGAGGGGACTTGGTTGGGAGAGAGTGTTTGGAGGGCAACTTAGCGTGGTAACGAGGGGGGCCGGGTGTTCTCGAGAGTTTTGTTCATCTATCGTGCCATTAGCGATATCGGAGGTGTGCCCGTTGACCCTAACCTTTAGATATGTATTTCATGTTGAAATATTTATCTGTGCATTTTTTTTACCTTCTATTAAACTGAATTTAGTTGTTGTTACAAAAAAAACAATTTTGGGTAATCATATGTATATAATCAATCGGGAATAGTAAAAAAATGGAATGGTTATTACTACTAAAATATTACGGAGTACTTGTGTATGCAAACAAACTTTAGGCAGTATGTACTTCAAAAAAAAATGTTGTTTTTTTTCCTTTTGTGCAATTTATTTACATACCCCCGTATATATTAATATTGCGTAAATGTATGTCATGATATACATATAACATTGTTAAGTTAAATAAAAAAAATTTGCCGAGTAAATAAAGGGCTGATATTTGTTGGAAAAGTCAAAGATTTGATCAAACACAAAACATTTGTGTTATGTTTTTTTGGGCAAGGTTCAAGTGATATTGGACCTCAATGTCATGGGATGACCCGGGAGCGCTCCGGTGCCCCGTTCGTAAAATTGACGGTTCCTACCCCCCTTAACCCCCCGGTAACCCCCCCACCCAGCCCCGACCCGAACACACCCCCCCACCCCCTTCAATTGCACCCCACAAGTTGATTTTGACTTTGGAGTCAAAATCATGCATTTTATGTATAAAATGTAAACAATGGCCTAAAATGCTAAATATTAGAAAATATGCTCATTTAGGTATAAAATGCTCATCAAATATCTTAAAAGTACTAAGAAATGGGGGAATAAAATACGACATTTTGTGGCTTAACAAATACCCCCACACTTAGACTTTTGCACGCCCTCGTGCAAACTAGAAATTGACAACCTTTTTCGATTTGTTGAAATTAGAATTCAAAACAATTTCTCAATCTCATAACCATCTAAAGTGATGCATGAAACATTAACTAGAAATTAATCATGTACCAAATAGAATAAACCCTTTAAAAATCAATTTACTAATATAAATTTTAAAACAGTTCTTTCACTTCAAAGCTAAATAGAAAACATTTTTATTTAATGTCAAAACTTTGAATTAACTAAGGTCATTGAGAACAATTTAAAAGAAATCTACAGAGCAGCAAAAAGTAGTTAGAAATCCTAAGAATTAATCAAGTAAAGAAAAGCTCAAGAAAATTTATTTTCTTTTCCAAAATTTGGAGACTTTTCTTTATTGGTTTCTTTCAATATTTAATTTTAATTGTTTGAGTTGACCCGTGTAGCGAGTTTCAACCAGGCTACCCCAGGCCCATTCCAGATAGCCCGGGACCTAAATAAACGAAGTATTCCGAGGGTTTCAACTCGAGTGCTCAAACAATATTTTCATTCATTTTTTATTCTTTTATTTTTACCTAGCCATTTATTGCACTTTTTTTTTTCTTTTTGGCTCAATGGCGTCAGCTTTTTTTTTAAAACTGGTTATGGACGAGATTCGTACGGCCCAAAACGGGGTTTGCTCTTCCAACTCAGGTTTTCTCCATACACAACATCACTTCCTTTTGGGATCTGTTGCTTAAGGGGACAAAGGTGCCGTGCCACCCATGCCAACCTAAGATGGTGTTCCAGTATATATATTCAGTTTTTCAGCATTTTGATAATATATAAATAACCAAAATTTAGAAAAAGAAAAAGATTTTCTTAAGACTAACTTTACTTGAATAGCAGTTTAGGAAAAAAAAGTTAGAAAACTGCTCCATATATCTCTAAATAAATTGTGCACATTGAACTTAACTAATTAAAAGGTATAAGATTAAACAAAAACAAGTTCCAAATAGATTTGACTTAAAAGAAATGATTTAAATTTTATAGTAGCAAACTCATTTTTAAAGAAATTCAAACATATTTGTTACAAATTTAATTTCTATTTAAGGCAAAAATTGCAACACTTAAGAGTGCTAAAAGATTAAAAGAAACTATAATGATTTCTAATTTTTCTCGAAACTCTCCTTTTCTTATATAGATTTTTATGTGAAAGATAATTGTTTTCTTAAAAAACTTTAAAAATTTTAAATTTTAACCAAATTGCATCTAAAATACAAAATTGACATGAAATACCTCTTTTTCTACCCAATTCATGCTCCTAGTATGTGTATGAAAACATGCAAACAAAATTTTTTTCCTAAAATATGCATAACTAAATGCAGAAGCGTCCCCCACACTTAAATCATGCAGTGTCCTCAATGCATGTCAAAGATATAAAAATGATGAACGAATGCACATATTTAATGACACAATTAACAACATGAAACATGAAAAACAATAAAACAGATGCAAAATGAGAGGCAAGGGATCAGAAGATATGACAATTAAGCATGCAAGACAGACAAAATGCAAGTAAAGAAGAGAATAAAAGAAAAGAAAAAGTAAATAAAATGCATAAAAGTAAAAGTTTAAATATCTGGGTTGCCTCCCAGAAAGCTGCCTCTTTTAATGTCTTTGGCTAGACTCCTTATTGCTCAGGACAACATGGAGAATCCACATTATACTTCTAATAACCTGTGATTCCTCAAAAGTACATCAAACTAAATTATCACTAGGTCAAAGCATTAAAACAACTTGATTTAGTGTACTCAAAAATTAGTTTTCCAAACAAGCATAACAAACACTAAAAACATAGCTAGGTTCTCTAGAAATAGTATTTGGAAAATAAGTTTATTTTTGTCAACTCTACTAAAATAGTTTTTTGTTACCCTTTTTCTAATTTTGGAACTTGAAAAAATTGTTTACAAATACGGATTTTAGTAGTTTAGAGAGCCGTGTCAGAAAAAAAATTCTAGTCATACTTTTGACAATGCATAGAATGTTAATTGTCAAAGATTAGATTTTCAAAAAGCTGAGCAGAAAGCAAGACAATAGATAATTTCTTTTTTTACCCCAACAGTTCATTCTCAACTCAATTTGAACACATTTTTATCTTCCATATGTGAAGTACAGTGATTGGACTGCCCTTTTGAAAAACTTGAGATGTTTTAATTCCCTTTTTTTTACTTCCATAAAGAAAACTTAATTCTAAAACAGAGATTCATGGCTTGAGTAGGATTCCAAGGTTCTTGAGAGCAAATGAATACTTTGAAAAGTAGCAAACAAGAAAATCAATCTCAAGCTCTAAAAAGCAAATCAACTCCAACTAACCCAAGTTTTTTTTTAACACAGTGTAGAGAAGGCTTACCCATGGCAATTTTTAGCACCTCAACTAACCCCAGTTTTTTTTTTCACTATCCAACATGCCCTGTGTAAACTCACAAGTTGATTTCAAAACAGATTTTTCAATAAGGTTTCAGCCTTTGTAACTATTGAGCAGTTTTTGTCAAATTTGAAGACCATGGTTTAGTGCTTATCAAGTTAGGAAAATGCAAACTCTGTAACTACCTTTAACATATAAATGTGTAAGTTATTCTGCTCAATTCGTTTAGGAGTATGAAAACATTGTTACTTAGCAAAGAGATGTTGAAAAAATGATAGCTTCTTCTAGAAAAAAAATTATAGGGTTGAAAACAGGTTTGGCCAGTACCTAGTTTAACCCCTACAGTCTAAGTCTTATTGGAGAAGAAATTTATTAAAAGAAGTAAAAACGACCAAGTAGACCTAATCATAGGTCACAGGAATCACGCTCAATTTTTTTTAGACAGCCAACTCGTTAAATCAATGTGAAATCATTGTCTCAATTAAGCATGACTTGAACAAAAAAATGGATTAGGCCACATGTCCAGTAAGAACAAGTAATGATGTATATGGAAATCATCTTAGCACATTGCCTATACTTGTCCCATGGGTACTTAGAAAAACCAATCATTAGGATAACAAGAGTACTAAAAAAACAGGTCTGAAGGGCTCACACGTTTTGTATGTCGTTTTCAACAGAGAAAAAAAAACATTCATCACATTGGACATTAAGAACTGAACTTGAACAAGTTACAAGTTTTTACACGATCTGACTCAAGGTGAGAATGGCTATGAATACTTACCTGGAAAGTAGGAGTGCACATTTAGAGATGCAACAGAATTGATCCTTATGCTATAACATTCATAACCCAAACCTAGCTCTGAAGTAATGCAACTCTTTCTATGGATCTTGAGACTCTAAAAATGCAGCATTGTTTGCGGGGGAACTTGACGACCATCCTCTCAGTAATGTTTCACTGTGTTTGTTCATGAAGATCTCCGTGATGAATTCCTTTGGCCCATTCAATCAGATCTGCGGCATGTTGCCAATTTGTTCCAATTCTGGAACGTGTGTCGTGCATTTAAATATGCAAGCTTTGTTCTTTTTTCTCTCTGGAAAGAAGTTTCTGTCGGCAATTCGCATAAGTGCAGCAATAACCCATCTATTTAGCTATTTAAAACCTGAACTTCAACAAGGAAAAATTTAAAAGAGACAAAACAAGAGCAAGAATAAGTTGTTTAAAGTTCTGAATATTTTTATTACTTGGGCCTACTGATTTTTTTTGTTAGTTCTAGATTACTTTCAATATACAGACTTAGAAAAGTTATAAAAAAATTCAGAAAGGTCAGAAAAAAAAAATTAAATCCTAAACTCCAAGTTAGTGTTAAGTGAAGTCAAAGACTATAACTTAAAACCAGAGACACTAACAACAGACACATCTAAAATTCTTAATAAATGATGACTTTAGTGTACAAAGACATAAACTGACTAAAAAACAACTGCAAAACTGACTACTTATCCCAAAAAAGACACAAATAATCCTAGACACTAAGCTAGATTTTGAATAGACCCATTAACTAACAAGATAAACACTAGAAGAAATAAACTAAACAAAGCGGTAACATGGAATACCAGATTACCAACTTTCTCTTTTTTTTCAAAAAAAAATTGTTTTTCAAATGTTTTTTAAGTTTTATTGAATTGTAAATTTTGTAAATTTCATTTTTAGTGTTTTTTTTGTTTGTCAAAGCTTTGAGTTAGCATTTTATGTTACTCTTGACTGTTTTTAGTTTTTTTTTTGTTTTTTAGGTTTTTTTGCTTTTCATGTTTATTATTATTTTTTTTGTTTTGTTTGAAACATAGCAAACTGAATTCCATAAAAAGTTAATCTTTCCCCGGCAACGGCGCCAAAATTTGTTAGGCGTGTCGTAGCACCTACAAATTAATTTATTATTTTCCTTAACTTTTAACCCCCTTTATGATTCAATATTCATCAAAACATATAGATAGGGCAAGTAAGGGTCGATCCCACGAAGAAAGATACTTTTTAGACTATGAAAATCAGTTCACTTGTCACTTTTATTGAATAAAAACTAACTAAAATCTATAAAACTAAAACTAAAGGATATGGGGGGGTTTGAAAGATAAAATTAAATGATAAAAATGCAAATTAAATTAAGATAAAGATAACAGATAAGAGATGGAACTACATCAGCAACTCGAACTCAGAAGAACACTCAGGGAGAAACAAACACACAAAAAACAATCACACAATAAACTTTATAAAAACATAGACAATAATAATTAACTTAAACCATTTTGAAAATACTTATAGTTTTTACTAGAAAATAAACTGACCAAATCTGATCAATCAATTAATTATGCCTTGCTTCTGAAATTAAACTGTTAATTAAACTCAGGATTAGGCTGAAGAAGAGGTCCACCAACGGTTCTTCCCTATTCTCCCATTCATATTAGCTCATGTTAGGACCAACCCTAACTCTAAACCCTACTACCCTTAGCAACCCAAAGACCAACCCTTAAGTTACTACTAAGAATAGCGCATTAAGATCTTTGGAGAACATCACCATAACAACTTTGCAGTAACACTACGGTTATTTAACAAAATCAGTTCGAGAACCTTGATTAGCAAAAACCACTTAGCGAGGCAGCAAGTACTAATCAAGTGACACTTGGTTTCTAGAAAAGTTCGGCTATTTAAAACACTTTGGACTTTAAAAGAATATCATTTTAAACTGGATTAGGCGCGCGTTCCTAATTTGGCCCAATTTAAGTAAAATCTGGTGAATAATAGTTCTCAGAACACCTTTTTGAGTTTAGATTTAAC